AGGGATTTCACGCAGGGACCCCTCCACCGTTCAGCTTGCCCTCGGCCTTGGGCTCCACCGGGCCCCTGGCTCCTGGCGCAGCCCCTGGTTATGCGCCCCCACCGTTCTTGCACATCCTGCCCGCCCACCAGCAGCCTCACTCACAGCTGTTACACCACCACCTGCCGCAGGACGCTCAGGTGAGCCCAGTGGTGGAGGCAGCCACCCTGCCCTGGGCTGGGGGCTCTGCTTCAGCCCTGACAGCCTTCTCTCCTCCTCAGAGTGGCTCCGGTCAGCGCAGCCAGCCCAGCTCCCTGCAGCCCAAGCCACAAGCCTCCAAACCTGCCTACGGCAACTCTCCATACTGGACAAACTGAGCCCCGAAGAAGGGAGGGGTGGGGTGGGGTGGGGCTTACTCTGGGCAGGAGAGAACACACGGAGCCCATTTCTCTAGGAGCCCGGCGCCCTTTCCTAGAGTTCCTGAAACGTGTAACTGTGTCAGCCGAGCCTCTGTGGGGAGCCTGCCTCCCAGACTCGCTGTTGTATGTAGTGTATTTATGTATGTATTTGTAAATGTGATCGAAGTCTTGGGGGAGTGGGGGCGCTACTGCTACTCTTAGCCAGCTGCCAGCTGTCCCCACTCAAACCCCTTCTCGCTGTAGCAGAGTAATCCCCTCCCTCCCTTCTGCCTCCAGGCCTTCTACACCATCCTCTCAGTGGCAGCGTCTGGGAGGGCTGGTTTAAGGCAGTCTGGGTATTGGGGTCAGGTACCAATGAAGAATCACGACTTATCTCACTACCTTGTAAACCACTATTTGAGTTTTCTTCCCTGTGTGATTGATTACTTTATCCATCTCTTAGAGAAACTGGTCCTTTTGTCATGTTCCCCTTCTGCCAAATCTTGCTCTGGTAATAGCAGAGATACACCCCCCGCCCACCATAAAAGTGACACCTGTTTGTCTTCATATAGAGCAGAGGCTTCTGCTTCTGGTCTGGTCTTGTCCCCAGAGACTTACCTTCTTCTGGCTGACCATTTTTAAAATAATCTGAATTTGCACTCAGAGATACTCAGCCAGTCAGCTCCCATTTAAAAAAAAATATTGAAGATATGCTTTCATTTCGATGAGCGCTTGTCTCCTCTATTTTGGTCGTCCTAAACCAGGTGGGCGACTTTCAGAGGTTTTCTCTTTTGCCCAACTCCACCTAATAAAATTCTGAGAGCATGCTCGGTCTCTGTGTGGTGTGACTGAGGGATGGCCCAGGGCACAGGCCACCTGCCTCTGGTTCCTGGGACCCTGGTCTTCACAGGGCTGACGTAGAGCTCACATGGTCCGTCTTCTGATGACAGGCTGTGAGAGCTTCAGTTGGTATCTCTTGCTTTGCTGGGCCCAAACAGCATCCAGGGAAGGAAAAGTTAAGTGATGCAGCTGAAAAAGAAAGCTACTCCTCCTGACAGGGCACAGGCAGTGTTTATCAGTTACCTTTGCTTTTGTTGTGACTCTGTAACAGACTTAGGGGACAAAGCAGTCTCCCACTGGGGCCTGTCAGCAGGAATGTTAGGGCAGGGCGCACTCTTTTCCAAAGGAGCAAAGATAAGAACTAAGAACAGTTTTAGGCTTGTAAGAGAATAAGCTTGAGCAGCTAAACCTGTCCTTTGCTTTTCATCAACCAGATGCAATCTTGACTGACAGCCATGGGCTCTGGTGGAACAGATGGCTAGTGAGTCAGGGCGGTGTGAAGCTGGTAAGTGGGTCCCGGGCTAAATACCTGCTCCAGAAAGTCCCAAGGAATTAACTCACCGGGGGCCAGGGGCCAGGATTCTGACTCCCCCTGTGCTAGTCCGGCTCCTCCCTCTTGAATCCAGGCCACCAGAAACAACCAGGGCCATAAACTCTTCCCGTGTGTTGGCCTCAGGTGTTGTCTGAAGCATTAGAGCTTCTCATTTGAAGAACCAGCCTAGGGGTACAGTCTTCGCCTTTTCTTTTTTGACCTTGGTCCATGGTCACGTGCTGCTATAAAGCCACAGCTTGGGATCCTGACTTTTAAAAAAGATGGGTGTACACATCTGAAACTGAAAATTAAATTACATGGTCTCACACCTGATCCCTGCTTTTTAGCAGCAGGAAGTTAGTTAGATGACAAGCGACAATAATAACAGAAAACTTGCCTAAGGAGGGCAGTAGAGCACCCACCCCCTCCTTCACTTCACCGACCTACTTGTATTGGCAGATTGTGCCCTATTTCAGAATTAAGGTTAACAAATGCCTTTGTTTTTAATAACCCTCCTTAAAGGCAAGTAAGGATTTGGGGATGTTTATTCTGTTAGGAGGTAAGCTGAGCAGAATGTCATAAAAGGCAGGTCAGCAAGATTTGGTTTCTGTTTAAATTTTTCAGCTGAGCCCTGGGCACAAGCAAGGGAACAGGAAATACTAAGACCTTTTAATTTTAACACACAAAAGAAGAGGGTCATCCCATGGGGAAATAGCAATACAGGTATATTTTATTTCACATTTTATTAGTAGACAGATGGGCAGAAAAAGACAAAATAAACCACTAAAGGGGAAGTCAAACACAAAACGCATCAGATAATCTTTTCTCATAAGTTAAACTGAAGAAAAACACCTACAATTTCATCTAAGAAAACTATTAAAGTCAGGTGGGTCCTGCTGGTTTCAGAATAGTTGAAAATTGCATCTGAATCTTTGTAAACCTTTTTTTAAAATCAGTATGGGAGGGGTGGAGAATTAATTTTCAGTGGAGAGCTACACATTTTCCCCTTCAATCTCTTACTATGTTTGTCCCAAACAAGGAAACAGCAAATAAACAAATAATTACCAGGGACAAGCAGAGAAGACTACAAAAAGTTTGGCTAATAGAAAGGAACTCCGGAATGGTATGAAATAAAAGTGGGGAAGACAGAAGCAACAACTGAATCTGAATCCTATTATACTTTTTCCACCCAGCCTCAAAATACACAGACCTGGAGAGCACCCAGAGACCTCCACTAGAATCAAAAGGAACCTAAAAATGCAGGAGTCTGAGTTCATGTTACACCAAGTAATCAGCACAACTGTACTCACGAGGTTGGGGCCTGAGCCTGAGAGCTCTGCTTCCAAAAGAAAAAGGTT